AAATAAATATCAAAGAGGATTAAATGAATATCTTGTTGTAAGAGTAGGTAGTAAACGATTAATAGAAATATTAATAGAAAGCTAATTCTTTTTCAGATAGATTTACCAAAACAATTTATAGAAAAAGCATTTCATAATCAATTTCTATAAATAATTATTTCTTTATGAATACCTTTTCGAGTTATTGAGAATAAAGAATAGTAATAGCTTATTCAAATGCAAAATCCTGGATTTCCTTTTCCCTCTATATATATATTTCGAAAACGATTAATAACCCAAATCGAAAATCTTGAAAAGAATATATTACTTTTGAGAATGGTAAAAGGAAGTAAGGTTGCTCTATCCTTAGATGCTTGGTCTAATACAAACAGATTATCTTTTTTTAGAATTTTGGTTCATTATATCTTTAAAGATTGGGAATTAATTAAAGAGTTTATTAGATTCGAAAGCTTAATAGATATTCATTCAGGATAAGCTTTAATTAAAGTTGTAAAAGATGTTATCGATAAATTCGATATTACTGATCAGATTATTTTGATTACTATTGATAATATATCTAATAATTCCAAGATGATGGAAGAAATCAATCAACACTTCGAGAAGGCATTTAATAAAGATCGATTTCTGGATAAACACATTCAGTATATACCTTGTTTAGTATATATTATTCAACTTGCTTTAAAAGTACTTCTTGGATTAATTCGTTTGATTTTAACTAATGAAATGTTTATTCGAGATTAGAATAATGATACAGAAACAAGTGATCTAGAAAGAATTCGTTTATTAGAAAATAATATTATTTTTTTTATTCTCGTTAAGGTAAATAATTCGATTTCTCTATTAATCTTTCTATTAATCTTTATCTAAATTCAAAAACTAGCTATACTCTCGAATTCTAGTATACAATGATAATTAAGATTTCTGAATATTTAATAAAAACTTATCAGGAATAATCAGATGGAATTGAAAAAACCAATTAATCTTTTGATAGATGTTTTAACTCAATGGGATTTGATTTGTTATATATTGATATATACAGCACGTCTTCAAAACACAATCAATAAATACTACCAGAATTATTCTGATACGAGAATATTTTCTTTATCAGAAATAGAATAGAAGCAAATTGAATATCTTATTAATCTTGTTTGTTTATTTAATTTTTATACTACATATATAGGCAGAACAAAAGGAACTATTTTGCTATATGCATTAGATATTTATAATAATTTATATGAGCATCTAACTGAAAGTCGTTATTGTTTGATTAAAAAAAGACGAAATATCCATAAGTTGAAAAACTAATAGAAGCTATTGATGAAGCAAAGAGAAAATTGAATAAATATTACAATAATATATATAATGATCTTAATAGTATTTATATAATGGGAGCTTTGCTATGTCCAGCTTTAAAAGCAATTGCTTTCAATTCAAATTCTTGTTGATTGAATTATCAAAATCAGGATTGGCAAGCTAAATTCGAAGTACAATTTCGTTGACTTTGGGAAACCGAATATCAATAATATACACCATCTAGAATTACTGAACTTCAAGCTTTGCAAGATTCAAATAAGAATGATCTAGCAATTGTTTTAGAATAATCTCGTTGGAATACTTCTGGACAATATAAATCTCAAGAAATTGCTATAGATAAAATAGATTTTTGGTTATATTCTTATAAATCTTTCTATTAATCTTTCTATTAATTATATTTCTAATATTCTATTAGTCTTTTCTGATATAGTTATTCTCTTTCATTGGAAAGCAAAAGAATATAATTATCCAGGTTTAACTAAAATAACTAAGGATTTCCTCTATATTCCAATAGTAGAAGTTGGTGTAGAACGAATATTCAATTATACTAAGGATTTATATTCATATCGATATGGACAACTTACTTCAGAAACTATTTGTAATAGTATTTTCCTTTTTCATCACCAATAGAAATCATAAAAGAAGACTCCAAATAGAGATAAAGGCTATTATACATCCCGGGATATTATACAAATTACTAAAAAATCTATAGCTTTAACTAAAAAGGAAATCGAAACCGAAATAACGAATTTACAAGATGAGATTGATTTTAAAATTAAACAACTTAATGATTAGAACCAAAAGAATTATATTAGCAATAAAGAATCGGATATAAATACTATACATATAGTACAAAAGGAGTTTCGAAGATATCATCAATTATAAAGAAATATATTATTAACTAGAATATCACAACATCTTTCTTAAAATGATTATAAAGTTGAGCAAAATATATCAAATCAAATAAATAAGAGATTGGAAAACAAAGACTCAGCAATTTATAACAATTTACAGATTACTGCAGAAGATTAAGTTACACAACCCAATTTATCAAGCTATAATTCGAAAAGGTAATGAATTGAAGATAATAAGATTATAATTAATAGATCTAATAAAGAAAGGAGTTAAAGAAGGTTTCATAATATACTTAATAAACATAAATAGTTACCCGAATTGAGAATTAAAGAATATTCTATTAATCTTTTTATTAATTTTAAATAATATATTTTATAACCCTAATTACTATCTATTACCCATTAAATTACTCATTACCCATTAGGTTACCCATAGTATTTTGGGTTACCTATAGTATTTTGGATTACCCATAGTATTTTGAATTACCCATGGTATTTTGGGTTACCCATAGTATTTTGGATTACCCATAGGTAATGGGATAGGTTTTTAGAAATCCTACCCACCCATTAGATATCCAATGAGGTGTATTACCCACCCACTGGGTTTCTACGCAGACTATCAACTTAGTAAGCCTTTCGTTTCCTCGAAATCTCCGCTCAATAGGTCCAACTCGAGTACCATTCTGAAAATCTACAAAATTTGCCTCATCATTACCACGCATTATTGCAATAGACCGCTCATTGAATTCGTCTACTTTAGATCGGTTCTTGGAATCAGTATGCCAGATGAAATTGTTTCTAAACGTATTAGCCTGTGAAACATTTGTGAAAGTAAGAGGAATCTTCCACTTACTGCCAATACCTTATGTCGTGAAGACACATGGCTGACTCAATACCAGGCCTCTTTACGGGCCGAGAATCCCATTGAAAATTGAATGCAGTATTTATTGCATCTGGACATTCGGCAATCATCTCCGTCCAGATTGCAATTATTCGAAGAAAGGCTTCTTCATCGAACTGATGCAGGCCAACAATACCGAATTGTTTGAAGCCCCCCTTAGCCGCGAGTGCCTCCCCTCTATCGCTTGCATTTTGAATTGGTACCGGCGCTCCACTAGCAATAAGTGGTTCTAGGTCGTGTATATCTTTATATGCCAATGCCGGTCGTCAGGATTTCCGGTGTAACGAGCCGCAATAACCAAACATGGATTTCTTGCCGGGGGTGGAGCCATGATCATCATAAGACCAGCCGTTGCATATTGATCATTATTCATTAAATTTTTCATGACAGAAGTTACTTCGCAAGTAAGATCAAGTGGAAAGACAAAACTTCTAACCTAAATGACACCGTCGTCGTTTCTAAGGTTCTTTAAAGGATGGATTTTTATGACGAGCTGTGTTACAAGACCATAATGTTGTCCGGCTCCGCGTATAGCGTAAAGCAGACCCGGATGTGTGTCATCAGTGACATTGATCAATTCCCCGTCTACAGTTATGACACGAGCCGAGATAATTTGATCTGATCCAAGACCAGTAATAGATGAAGTAATGGAACAGCCACCACCGAGAAAGTATGGGATAGCGCCCACCGTGTTACCGTTTCCCAAAGCTAGATATAACGTTAATTACGCTTCCCAAGAATTCTGGAAGTAGACTAAATAATGCATACCAGTGAAGAACCCAGCTTCCGCAAGAGTTGATTGATTGATTGATTTCATTTACGTCCACGTTCAGTCTAAGACTATATAGGACGGCTAGGCCTCTAGAGGCTCTAGCAGGTAACTTTTTAATCTACAAAGATGGATATATTCGATTTAGGGAAGTGAAAACAAATGTTGGGGACCAGTGCCCGCTTATTATACGCATTGCATATAATAAGTTCCGCAAGAGTTACTGCTACTTCTTCAGAGAGGATACTCCCTTTAATGATTGCTGTGCCAGACTCTGTGTACACCTCTAAACCCTTGTATAAACTCAAATCAATGATGATTCCGTCACTTCCAATAGTAGACCATGCACTATGACCTCCGCTTTTTGTCACGAAAGGTATAGAGCACCAGTGGTGCACGGACTCACGGAACACTCAAGAGGAAAGCACAATTTCACACCAAAAACAGCGATTTTAATAATTCAATTAAAATTCAAAATTCGATGAATTTATTTGAAAATCAAATGTATAGATCTAAAGCATAAAGATTCTATATCAATTTAAAATTGAATCGAAGAAATCAACATTGATATTTTTATAAAAGAATATATAATTCCCTATCAAAAGTTTTGATAGAAAAGCACACTATTTGTGTTTTGAGCTCAAATCGCATTTTATTTTGATCATTTTTAAACGAATTATTCTTTGATGTTTGAAGAATTATATGTATCAATTTTGAAAGAATTCAATAATATATTGAATTTTAATTGAATTATTAAAATCACTTGTTTTGATATGAAACTGTGCTTTCCTGTTACGCTGTCCTGTGAGTCCGTGCACCCACTGGTGGAGTTCTTCGACGCCCATTTTACCTATTACAATGTGTTAGGAAGAGACCAATGCTCGAGTGCTTTGAATTCTCACAATATTTTGGCAACCAGTTTCTGAAGTAGGGAGTACGATAGCTCCAGGAGTCTTTAAGTCAATGTCCGTCCATCGTTTTAGATACTCTGCAAAATTAAGACCATTGGGATCCGTCAAGATCTTGCAAGTAGGAGTCAAGACTTCCTTCAGCTCCGAGAGTTGAACAAGACCATTCATCTTCAGGACGACAATATTTGGACTTCAAATTATAGGGATATTCAATAGACGAAGGGAAATGATTGAAAAAAAGGACAGGAAAATTCTGCAATGTAAATATGATTTTGCTTGATGGCAATGTCCAAAAATATAAAAAACTTATAGAATAGAATAGGTAAAACCAACAGTTGGTTTACCAATCTCGAGTAATGATAGCACAGCAGTATCCACTGGAATAATACCAAAACAGTAAAGTGCTTACTTGACGAAAAATGAACAAGTCTAGTGCCATAAGCAGACAAAGGTGACAACGTTATAGTTATTGCACATGTCCTTATTGGCAAATTATCATTTCCAGACCGTCGCAATCCTATGGCACAATAAAGTGATAATTCATTTCCACTGCGTACTAATACATTCCACCCTAATCAAACGCCTTTGCACCTCACCGTGTCTCTTTGGACCGTCGCCATAAAATATTTTAATCATCGCATCACACGGATTGAATTGAAGATACCTCCGAAATCAAAAAAAATCCAGCTATATGGTACATAGATGACTTGCCTTTCTCTCAAACCCTTCCAGCGCGCCCGCAATCTCACATAATCGTACATGTCGTGATCTGACGGAGGGACATTGTGGCGCAACCAAGTCAAACCCTAATCAATTTTAATAGATCCATAAATCTTCTGGACAAAAGCCCAACAAGCAAAGTATCCGATTGAACCTGACCCGCTTGTTAGTATCATCTCGTATTGAATTGTTGTGGATTGTGGGCTTACCAGTAAGGATGAAAACAAAAAACGAGATTAATGCACTATACCCAATGTAAAGTACACTACCCGCCAAGCCACCAAGTTGCAGTTTTGTCACCCAGTAGATCATGGCATTTGCAAACACGTAACCAGCGCTAGCACCGGCCGTCATAAATGCTCTCCAATGCCAGTGGTAATTCTCGCTACAAAGCAAGAAATATATCATAAGAACAGTGACAGCGGCACATGTGATGATCATGAGACCGTAACATAAAAAGAGGAAGCCGAACATGTAGTAAACCTTTGAAAACCAAATGGAGGACATGATGAAGTAAAGTTCAACAAAGATTGCTCCAAATGGTAAGATACCTACGAGAAGCATGGATGGAATTGGGCGCATGTACGATGTGGAAGGAGGAATTTGACGTGGTATTTGGTTCGTACGGACTGGAGAAGCGATAGGTGGTTGACGGAACCCAACCCAACTTCCGGCAAACGATAGAGGTAAGGAGAAGAAGAACCATATAGCAACGATGACAAGCATTGTTGTGAATGGTACTGCTCCAGAAGATTCTTTGGCCCAAAGAAAGAGGTTAAGGAGGAAAAATGTGCTGAAAACGATACCCGGGACGAGTGTTGGAGTTAAGGCAATGTTGAGCTTCCATTGTTCACCACCGAAAGACTTGTATACACGGGCTGAGGCATATCCTCCGATAAAACCGAGTACAGTATACAGAAGGATCATAATGGTACCAAGAGATCCACGATTGGATGGTGAAAGGAACCCCAAAAGTGCAAATGCAATTGTAAAGCCCGTCATAACAAACAATTGAGCTCCATTGCCGAGAAATACACTCAGAATCAATGGACGTCCTGGTGTACGGAATACATCTCCATGTACCAATTTCCAGCCGGAATCTTCTTGAACTCCGTCTTCGATAGCAGCAGATGTTCCTGATAAGTCATCAAGGTTGATCGAATCAAGTCTATTATATCTTTGAATGTCTTTTCTCAAAGTTCGCATGAGAATCGAAAGGACTGTGATGACGAGAAATACCACAATGACGGCGGAGTTGATCAGAGAGAACCAATGAATCTTTGGATCAAAAACATGGAGGTATTTGTCCCATCTGGTAGCCCAAGCCGTTGTTGAAGGTTGCCACCAGACACTATACGAATACGTGACGGCTGTCTCTCCAGATTCCGAAAGTACCACTTGTGGTCCACCAGCACCGCATTCTGGGTCCCCTGGATTTTCATTCATTGTCCTCGACGAAGGTTGAACAATAACACCAACAACTCTCATTTGACCAGCAGATACCTCATGATAGTCGATAAAGATATCGTAGTGATTGTTCAAGTGCATGTCTTTCTGATCGCTACTCCCCAATGCGAATCCTTGACTATAGAACCTCGTTTGTGTGATTTCATCCTCAATCAATTGTCCTGCTGGCAAACCATCAACTAACCAATTCATCGCAAAACCCTGCTGTATCCTTCTGTTCACAAAATGTGCCGAGCTTTGATCAAACTTCTTCTCTTCGCAAAGTTGTTTACACGTCTCGTTGACTCCCATCTTCAGGTTAAAGGGCGAAGTCATGATGCGATCACCGAAAAGAATACTACCCAAACTTTCCGAGACATATTCTGGTTTTGGATCTGGTATACAGAAATGGAAGGCCGGGTGATAGTAATCGAAAGATACTACTGATCTTAATTGGCCATCGTCATAAGAACCGACAGGTGTAGTCGATTCACATAAAGGGAACTTTGGCGCCGGGTGAGTATGATGTCGGCGCAACACCCAGGAAGGTAGAAAGCTGAGGATAGTTCAGGAGCGACGAGAAGGGTCGCAACAAGAGGCCGGCAGATGGTTTGAAGGTCTTTTAAAACCGCATGATGAAGAGTATTTACCTGTCGTTTTGTGAGCTTGATACGATTTAAGCGTGAGGTTATATCCAAGAAATCCCAAGGGAAACATTATTTGTGAAAGGGGAGCTTACGAAGATCCAGCCCTTGATCCTTATGTTTAATTTAGCATGAAATGCCAGCAAAGAATCAATGTGTAAATTCTCTCATATGAAGTGGACTTGATAACAGCTAACTTTTAAAATGTGTTTGAACTTTGAGAAATAATTATGAGATGTTGATATTGAAATAATCAACTTGATAAACTCCTTGATTGTTACTCGTTGCTTGCTACTGCTCTAGGGAACTTGAACGGACACCTTTCAATTAATCTGGCCTCGCCGCAGCGGGCCGCATGAAACACGGAAAAGGATTAATGTTTGACCGGCGCAAACAGAAATTTAGCCCCCTTGACAAATTAATTTTCTTATCGATACAGTCAATTGAAATCTTCTTCTTTCTGCAAGTGGAAATTCTTACATTTCTTCATAACTCGATAAATCATACACACCGTTTTCTTACCCACATTACACTCAATTGAAAGAAAGTTATCGACGAAATTATGGCCGTCGAAACTTCTCTTCCGGCATTATTGACCACTCTTACTCAATCATTGAATTCGGCGATTGAATCAACCCCAGAGAGTTCACTGATCAAACCTCCTACCGATGGTATTTCACTCCTAGATGTGAAAAATGAGCTTCTCCTATCATATCTTCAAAACTTAGTCTTTATCATAATTCTCAAGATCAGGAACCAAAAAGAAGATGTATCAGGTGAGGATGAAGAAGAATTGGATAATGCGGTGGTGAAGAAGTTGGTGGAATTGAGGGTATACCTTGAGAAGGGCGTTCGACCACTGGAAGGTCGACTAAAATATCAAATCGATAAAGTACTCCGAGCGTCCGACGATGCCATTCGAGCTCTTGCGCCCGCACCAAAACCAGTTGGAACTAAAGGTGATGCGCCAAGCGATGAAGACGATTCAGAATCTGAGGATGGTAGTGATGCAGATGGAAATGGAGCACCTCTTGAGAACCCACAAATTGACGATCTACAATATCGACCAAATCCTTCATCTCTTCTTAGACCTGCCGCTGCTACAGAAGATGACTCTAAGCATTCTTCTCATGGTATCTACAAACCTCCTCGCATCACTGCAACCGCCATGCCTACCACCGAACGTCGCGAAAAGAAGGACAGAAAAGCGAACAAATCTGCAACCTTGGATGAGTTTATTAATACGGAATTGTCCACTGCTCCAATTGCAGAGGCAAGTATCGGTTCCAACATCATAGCTGGTGGCAGAAGATCGAAGAGTGAGAAGGAGAAGAAGGAGGATGACGAAAGAAGAGAATACGAAGAGAGGAATTATACCAGATTGCCAAAGGAAAACAAAAAGGACCGGGCGAAGAAAAACAAAGCTGGCGGAAGACAAGATGCTGGATACGGTGGTGAAGAATGGAGAGGACTGGGTGAGGGTATTGATAGAATTGAGAGGTTGACGAAGAGAAAGAGTGGTAGCGGTGGTGGAATGAAGGATGTTCTAGAGAAGAGCAGAAAGAGAAGTGTCGAGGATGGTCCAAGAGGGAGTGGTATGCAAACTGGTGAAGGTTTCCAAAAGAGGTTTAAGATGTTGGACGGTAGAGGAAAGGATCGAGGTACCACTAGAAAGTAGGGAGAGACGGCAGCTTTTCGCCCTATGGTTGGTTCCAATTTGTTTTTATTTTAAATGTATAATATTCGGATTAGATTGCGACATTCAAAAGAAGCCAAAGACCATCCATCATCTTCTAATTATCGATGCAGACCCGAATCAACAACCCCTTTGTGTTTTCTGGTTCATTGATCTTTCACTTAGGCCGCATGGATATGGGGGATTTTCGGGCGATATGTGATCTTAAGGGATGACAGGAATCTAGGACCTCACTATATCATACCACTGCAACCCCATCACAGCTACGAATCAGACTTGAAAATCCACTACATCGCATGACATCGCATGACATCGCATGCAATGCTAGATCTACCGAATTCAGAAACGACAAATCATGATTATGATTTTATCAATTTTCACCCGATCAACAAAGAACATTTCGCGAATTGCACCCCATCATCAACCGAATACTACCGTGTTTTGTCATCATCTACTCGGATTTACAGAGTTCAAAAGGTTTGGGAGCTCGGGACGAAGTTTATCGAATCCTCTCAGAACGGTAAATTGAACTCGTAGACATACCCGCTATTAAGCCTAATATTATTCAGCATCTTTACATATTCTTTGTACCGAATGCACATGATCTCCTTCTTAAATGGCCATGCAGATCATGAATGACATTGCTTCTGTCTACTTTCTTTCTTTCCTCCTTCACTTCTTTATGGGTAGTCATCCTTCTATAGCAAGCATGTGAATTTGAGGACATTCAGTCTGAAATAACTCTAGCAGGATTAAAATGACACTTTCGAGTCATCCTATTGAATTGCACTGCATTCCTCGTGAATTGCGGTATACCTTTCCACTATGATGTTCAATAACTATCCTTGTTAGCTATATTCGTTGGAGAGGAACGGTGCTGAATTTGACAGTTCGGCAAATGCCTTTTTCTCTCCAACTTAACAAAGGGGTACGTCTCAATTGTGAAGATCTGTATCCAAATTTGAGATCTATATTCAAGCCTGGTGCCTGGTGCATGTCGGAGGTTTTGTTTTTGTTATCTATTTTACCCTACGTAGCTGGGCGGGTATTTGAAACGATCGATGCTTCCAATATATGCAAGTCAAACGCCTGATCATTTATTGATGACATTTAAATCTGTGGTTAGTTGAGCCTACGATCATGACTCCACTAGTCTTCCAGCGTGCCGAAGCTATTGATGTCGCTCAAATACCGAACTCAGTCCTTGCAGGAATCGGTATCATTCCTCCTCCGCCGGGAGTGCCCCCCAACTTTGTGAATCACGTCAGTATACGCCCTATTTTGTGGGCGTTTTGTGGTATCGGTTTTGGCATGATAGCTATATGTGTTTTTGTGAGGATTCATAATAAGTCCACTAAATCACTTATTAATATCTTACTAATTAGGAGATATTTTGATGACTAATATGCATGTAATATGATCTTATATTATAAAATCATATTATCATATAGTTATATAATAGTATCTCTTATCAAATTGATTTATAATGGAATAGAATAAAATGGAACTAAATGGAAATACATAGGGAATATTGCTAAATTGATTGGTTGTACTTTCTTTTTATTATATAAAATGGTTCTATAAGATTCGATTTAAGTCGATTTTATTTATAAGTATAGAAAATATTGGAATTTCATTACAAATTATATAAATCTAGGATATTCTTTAAAGAAAATCTAGAAAAAGTAAGTAATTTTATTTTAACTTAATCTAGTTTTTTTAAATTGATTTTAATTCAATTCTTATTATATATATTCGATTTATCCTTTAAGCTTAAATTAATTAGATCTTCTATTATTATTATAAAAGCTAACCTTTTAGAGGTTATAAGTTTGGTTAGTCTAAATTAGTTTAAAAAGAGAATTAATTTGATTTAAAGCTGTATATTATATATATTATCACGGAATTCACCGTATAGTATAACCCTACGATATTAATCCTAATACTCCTCCAGAATACTCATTTCTATAATTACTAAAACTATTTCACTCAATTCATTATATATCCTATATATCTAATTAGGCAACTCCATTGCCTGATTAGGGTATATAAAGCAGATATAATCCTTATAATCACACCTCAAGTCAATCTAGTTTATTATCATTCTATATATCTATTTCCTGATCAAAGTGATCATTAGACATAGCTATTACCTCCGTGATATATATATAATTATTAAACTATTTGTCACGGAATTCACCGTATAGTATAACCCTACGGTATTAATCCTAGTACTCCTCTGGAGTACTCATTCTCATGATTACTAAAACTATTTCACTCAGTTCATTTGTGTACTCTATATACCTAATTAGGCGACTCTATTGCCTGATCAGGGTATATAAAGCAGGTATGATTCTTATGATTATATCTCAAGTTAATCTAATTTATTATTATTTTATATATCTATTTCCTGATCAAAGTGATTATTAGATATAGCTATTATCTTTGTAATAGTTATGAGTTTGGTTGGCATTCATATTGTGTTCTTATTATTCATATATGTCTTTTGATTACTCTAATTTATATATACTTTTTCCTATTTATTTTTACAAATTCGTTATATCTAAATCCAATTCGTTAAAAGTTATTAGACTTGTTATTTGTAAATATTAATTAAAATGGTTTTTGAATTTATAATATTTTTGTATATCAAAAGATATCTGAAAGGATATCAAATTATTTGATTCCAAGATTATTCTGATTACTCTGATCAGTTTCGGAAAATCCTTGGAAGATGGAAAAACTCTTTATTAGTTGATCCCTATTGATGAAGAAGATTAGCTTATTAAGGATTTATCTAAACTTATTACAATTATTGATTTTATGAGAAATACGATTTGAATATAATACAAATTATCTTACTAAGTTCAATACTTAATGAATAATCTTAATAAAAGGATTTAGAAGGAAATACTAAGATAATTCTATTATAATTTTCTAAAAGCTAATATTTAAGTCTATAAGGTTTAAAGCAATATCTTTTAAGATATCTTAATAGAATATTGTATACTTCAAGAAGAATATTATTATTAAAAAGAATAAGTACAATATTATATATAAATTGTATCAGAATATTTATAAATAAATTACAAAAACAATAGATTTACTATTTTATAAATATTAACTCGTAATAATAATAATAAAAAAACTTTATTATTCAAAACAATTATTTAAAAGCTACAGGATAAGCTTATATCTATTATTAATAACAACCAAAATCTACTATTACTCAAAAAATATCAAAGACATTTTTCAACAGCAACTATAGATTAACTAATCACAATCAAAATAGCAATAACGAATAAACTAAAGTTATATTATCACAATGATCAATATTATATTGAAATAAAAGATAACTTAATAATCATCAACTTCCTACAGACTAGTAAAAACACATATACTCCCCACTTAAACAAACACCATACTCATTCAGATTGAGACCAATAATTAACTTAAAATTCCCATTACTTTTTGAAGCAATTCGAAGATATCTTTAATAGTTTAATCTATCAAAATTCTCTAGTATTCAAAAAATAAAAGTATATTCTTGATAATTATTCTGAGCTTAAGTATAACCCTAATAATTCCACCCGGGAACCAAGCTCTGCCTCAACAACAACCCGGATCAGACGTTCCCTTCTGGAAACAGAAGCGGATCGCACCCGCAGAGGATGCGAATAGCCCCTGGCATTGAAGTTAAATTGCTAAATTCAGTCGCGACAATCACGCCGCTCAAATAGTTCCTTATCTTAGCACGTCTAAATACCCTTAGGGAGGTCCAAACAGACGTTAATTAATATAAATAAATAAATAAATAAATACCCTAATAATTCATAAGGAAAGTAAAATAATGCTTAGAAAGGAGATCCCAAAAAAGGCAATTAATCGATATAAATGCCCTATAAATCGAAATCTGATTAAAAGAATAGAAAGGCAAGTAGTAGTCATTATCCCCAAGATATACTGGTTAGTTGAATTCGCATTCACCAGAAAATGCGATTCCCTACCCCTTATGCGCGGGGCTTTTTCCGATGGGAAAAGAGGGCACGGCCATTCTCTGCGTGGGACAAGAACCCTAAGACCCCACACGCACCCCGCTTTCCGATGGGAAAAGTTTCGATGGGAAAAGTGTTTGGGTTTGGTCAATTTGATCAATTTGGTCAATTTGGTCATTTGATCAATTTGATCAATTTAATCAATTTGATCAATTTGATCAATTCATTTAATTAATTTGGTCAATTTGATCAATTCATTTAATTAATTTGGTCAATTTGATTAATTTATTTGATTAATTCATTTGATCAATTTAAATTAATCAATTAACTAAATCAAACAAAATAATTAATTAAATATAATGCTATCACCTCAAATGATTGATTTATTATAACCCAATAAGAAATTAAAAAAAACATAATCGCTAGAGATTTTTATAAGAGTTTTTAAAAAAAAGAGAATAAAGAGAATAAATTTTTTAGGGTTTAATAATATTTGACGGAAAGGATAAAAATTGATAATAAAAATTAGAAGTAAGAATTAAATATAGTAAATTGATAATTGAAAGAAAAAAAATTGATATTAAATATATAAGATAATAATATTAAAAAAAGAAATTTTTAAAAGAAAAAGTTAATAAGAAATAAATTTAAGATTAAAAAGAATAAGTAAGAATTGAAAAAAAAAAACAAATGAAAGAGAATAAAATAATGAAATAAAAATGGAATATTGAAAATGTCACGGAATTCACCGTATAATGTAACCCTACAGTGTTAATCCTAGTACGCTCCGGAGTACTCATTCCCATGATTACCTAAAAACTATTTCACTCAGTTCATTGTGTACCCTATATACCTAATTAGGCGACTCCATCGCCTGATCAGGGTATATAAAGCAGGTATGATCCTTATGATCACACCTCAAGTCAATCTAGTTTATTATCACTCTATATACCTATCTCCTGATCAAAATGACCATTAGATATAGCT